AGCAGAGCTGGGCCGCGTTCCTTGAGCTCAAGCGCGACTTGCTAACTGCGCTGGACCCGGGGCACGCGTGCAATGGCATGTGTCCCTGGCTCTACGAAGACCTCGTGTCCAACTTTGACATCCCCCGGCGCAACGTGTCGTTCTTCAAGTACCTTTTCATTCGCCTGCACGTGATCACTCGCCGAACGATTCAAGTGTTCTTGGAGCATTTCCAGGAGCTGTTAGACTCGCTCTTGCGGCTCCTCCACACGCGCGGCGGTCGCTGCAAGCGGCTACTTGATGTCTGCACGGTCCTCGCGAGCTTTCTGCACATACGACCACCCACGATCACCGAGGCCCGGTCGCGCTCGTCCATTCCCTAGTTTCTTACGAGAAGACGTTATTTATTAACCCTCATAACACACCGCGGTAGATGGTCGATCGCCGTATTAAGCCGACAAGACATTAGTGTGCTTATAACCCCAAGCGGCGCAAATCGAGAAATAAACTAGAAGCGCCTAGCATCGTCGACGCGGCTTCTCGACATCTCGCAGTAGAGGCTGGTGTGGCAACGAGAGCCTAGCCTGTTTGCTGCGTGCATTGACAGAATGTTCCGCAGTAGAGTCGGCCTGTTTACGGTCAAGGAAAGCAGCCTCCGACATCGCACGATGCTGCTGTCCCCGCCATTTAGGCAATGATTGCATCGACGAGGTCGTCTAGCGTCGCAAAGCAATCCGACGTGTTGCTACTGGCAGAGGTTTATGCAACATTGTCGACTCTACTACAAAGATGACCATGATGAACCAGCAGCTGGGACTGGGGTATCAAATAGTAATAGCAAGTTGCATTGGTGACGCCCATGGTGACAAGGTGCTTTGGTCGGGTGCGATCACCTGCTCGAGATGCTTGCAATGGCGCTCCTGAGCACGGCCTCGGTCCACACGTTGTCTTTTCTTTCGCACATTTTCGTTCGACCACACGTCGCCTCGACGATCCGAAGCGTTCTTTTGACGCGCCACAGCGTTCTGCGAAAAACGCCACCGATCAAGCACGATCGCTTTGCGGCCGCCTTGGTGAGGATGTGGTTTGTGGCGTACTAGTACTAGTATATCCGATGTATGGCAGCGTCGTCGCACACATCACCTTGGATAGCGACCGCGAGTTGCCCGTCCTAGCATTGATATGTCGATGCGAGACGGTCGACTATTACAGTGCTCACGCCACGTGCGTCCTGCTATGCAGCAAGAAACCTACAGTGCGATCTTCGTAATCGGACCTCGCAAAGTGCGACGCCGTGTTGGTCGTGGCTAGAGACTGCTAAGTGCGCTTCAGGATTGTTGACGAAAAGTTGGTGGCGCCAACATCCGTGGGACATGCCGCCGCATGTCTGTGTAGGCAACCAATGCTTCATGCGAATATATCGTCCACGAATTCATTCTTTCATTTACCTTTTTGGGCGCATCAACTATGCTTGCGCCTCACATTGTGCACATCCGCCACTCGTTTGCGTCGTCGACATCGTCGTCTTCGTCCTCGTGTTCCTCGTCCTCGTCGACGTACCGCCTTGACGCGGCTCGCGTCGAGATTGTTCGCGCTTCAATCCGCTTGCCGTCGGACGCCACCAAGGCCAAGCCCAGCAACGACAGTGTCATCTTTGTCATCAAGGTGCACACCGCGTCTGGCTACCACCTCGTCGAGCAGAGCTGGACGGCGTTCACGCAGCTCAAGGAGGCGCTGCTCCTTGCACTCGACCCGGGGCATGCGTGCAGCGGCGTTTGCCCGTGGCTCTGGGAAGACCTGTACCACAACTTTGAGCACCCGACGAAGAAGGTCGACCTCCGCACGTGGCTTCACATGCGCCTCCACCGGCACACCAAGCGCACGATCCAAGTGTATCTCGAGCATTTTCAGGAGCTCCTCGACTCGATGCTGCACTTGCTTCGCCAGCGCCACCTCCAGTGCCACCAGTTCCACGACGTCTGCGACGTCTTGGCCCAGTTCCTTCAAGTGCCATCGCTGCTCGACACGTGCGCGTCGAGATCACTGCACCACGGCCTCCGTTTCTAGACGCGCCTTGTTAGTTTTAGTTATTTATTGTACGCCAATGCTAGTACGTACTAGTAGTCATTTGCCACCACTGGATCCTTCTTTTGACAACCGCCAGTTCCGACGTCGCTCGGAATCAAACCGTGTGATGTCACGTTGATTTGAAAACGGTTGCCACATGCAAGCCTGCACAAACGGGGACGGAAATACCGTGCGACGTGTAAACCGGTAAAGAATGATGTGCCATCGTAGAGGTGTACACCTTAAAGTGTACCCTCGCAGAATGGCTCTCATAGCTGCTATCATCGCTGGCATCGTCGACATGGGCGCTTGACGTGGACCGCAAGTCTCTGCCCTTGTGGCCGTTGTGATTGGTCGCGAGCGGCAGATTGTAAAGTATCTTTGTGACGCAGCGGCGTCATCGTGGTTGTCGACTGCTCCCGGCAACTCACGGTCAAAAGGGTCGTTGTCACATGGATCGCGCCGATTTTGTTCACGAAATTGCCCTTCCGACGCATGCTCTCGTTTTAAACAGCTCGTCCCTTTTATACGACACATTCTGTTTAAAACTATACCCCACCACCACATTACCTTAGATGAGTCCATATGTGTCACGTCATCGATCTCGCCCAGCGATTTCGCCCCATTCTGCATGAGCTCGTGCCAGCAGTCGAACGCTGCAACTTTAATACATATGCAGGTATAGCACCTGCGCACGAGAACAAGTTGCGTCGCGTAATCCACCTAGTCGCAGTATCTTCTTCTCTACTCTACATCGGATGAGCGTGGGACAGAGGTACTGATTAAGCGAATTGGGCAGTCGCCAATCATGGATTGCGCTCGGCCCATGTGGCAGCCATGCGGAAGAGGCTGCGAAAAACGGTGGCCAGCGCGACACGCCAGTGGCAGCTGAGGTCCAGACGCCAATTCGCGACTGCGCACCCAAGAGACCACTACCTATCGCCATGCCTGGCTTGACGTCCCTGCACCACGGCCACCTCCCGCTCTGGCACAACCGCAGCGCGTCCGCCAAGCTCGAAACAA